CGGTCATATTCCGATCTAAAATTTTTTGTGGTCTAATTACCCAGGTGAATAGTGGGGCCACAGTTCTGATCTCAGTTGGTGGTCCAGGATCCAGGCCTGGGCAGAGGTGGGGTAGGGCCTGGATCTGTGAGTGATGAGGTGAAGGGAGACTCGAATTGGACCCTGGGCAAGGGGGTGCATTGTAAGTAAGGCAAAGTCTAAAGAATCAATTTAAGAAGCGTGGATAGAGGGTCAGCCAAGTGGGTGAGATAAAGTGGATTAACTTGGGAAAAGCCTGCAAGGATTCCTTAAGGCAAGGTCATCTTTTGTTGAGTGGCTTTTATGGAGTGGTAGTTGGGGGAACTGGGAAAGTTATTAATACCCAATTTGGGTTGGAAGTTTTAACCCTTCTCTGTTAATATTGTGGTTTTACCCATCCTAGACTAGCTGTTGAAGTTATAAGAATGTGTCTTAGAAATGAGAACAATGAAATCTGCTGTCATGTTTCCTACTCACACTTTAATTTTGATGCCTGATAAGTAAGGGAAAGACCTCTATCTGTGAGTTACTGAGAGGGTCTGGGGTAGCTCATGAAATAAATTAAAATACTTGCCAGCATTCCCATAAAATGCATGTGGTCTTCTAGCAAATGCTTGAGTTCTGTCCAAAATGATGGCAAATTTAGAATTAGTGAAGTTTATTTTCAGAATAGTTAAGGTTATAATTGTTTTAGAAGATCACATTTATGCAACTTTTTATTGCTATTGCTCTATTACATTAAATTCTCCTTTTATTTATCCACCAAGAGAATTAAAGTATTTGATTAAGAACAACACACTAAAAATAAACAGAATATCATTCAAAATTTCAATAAGTTAGCAACAGAATTAACAATTGCTTGTTTCTTGCCTGTGTCCCTTTAGTAGGACGTAAGCTCCATGGAGGCCAGGATTTGACCTTTTCTTGAATTACAATTATATCCTTAGTGACAACAACACTGCCTAGGGCATAATACATCTTCAATAAATATTTGCTGAAATAGATGGGAGTCAAGGAGGCACTGAGTAAATATTCTCTAACATTTGGAACTTTTAAAAGTGCTTTAACTTTTAAATCATATCTGCGGAATAACAAGAATATTAGATCGAATGTAGTAATCACTATTTTGCTGCTCCGTTAGTCACTCAAGGGTATTTTTTAAATGAAAGATGGATGTTTCTGGAACCCAACCTGGATCTTTGGACCATGAAGTGCAATAAGTCCTGAGTAAGACAAAATTCTCTAACAGAGAATACAGTGCTCATAGAATTAACAAGATCTAGGCGATCTCTAGAAGAAATTGAAAAAGAAGATGTGGTGGGTGAATAGCAGAGTTAAACTAGAACTGAGTACAACTGTTGGACCATATTTGCAGAGAGGCTTCAGGGTTTTCCATTTAAACTGCAGAGAAAAGAAGCTTCAGTGACAGATATTTGTTCAGGTCCCTATTTTCTTACGGGTATAATATGCAACTTTACTCATAAGCTATACAAAAAAGTGATGACATATAAGACAGCAGGATCCTGAAAAAAAAAAACATATAAAAGAAAAAACAACATGTTTGCCACACAGCCTCTTGCCATTTGTAATATCCCGTATTGATTCTTCCTTCTGAATGTTTTTGTTCTAGAGGTAAAGAATATGAATTATCTTCCACCTTATCCAATCTTTTATCTTTGTGTGTTCATAGGAAAGGATATAAAGTCTCAAAGCCAGAAAAACACAAAATCCTAGACAAAGTAGAGGTCTTAAGTAAGCAAATAGAACACTTGGCCAACCCTATCTTTTTATAGTCACATTTTACTGACAGATGGGCCTATTAGTGTGCATCTATCTTATCTATGTGACCTTCTTGGAAAAGGTACACAATTTGAAAAAAGAAAATAATACCTGGGTTGAAGGATAATGGGAGAAAAACAAATTTCTCAACATGTGTGGACTATGAAAATACTTCCCATACCTTTTGAAAAAGTTACTTGAGGATGTAGTCTACTAAAAGGAAAAACTGAATTCTAAGAAGAGGAAGATATGGGATTCAAAAAATTCCTCTAATTCAGTAGAGCACTGAAAAGAAACTAATTTTTAAAAATAATAACAGGAAGTCAGAAGGCTTTTAGAAGAATGTCTATAAGAAGAAAATGAATGTATTTTACCAAACAGTGAGATAAATAACCACAGTGGTGGGAATAAAGATATATGTGCCCTTTTTGACAAGAAATAATGAAGGTAATTAAAAACTCTAGAAAATGAAAATGCTGTATAGGAAAGTCACAATGTAAACATGAAACAAGCTGAAATGTAGCATGATTTTCAGAAATGGAGGGTAAGAAGAGAGAATCTATTTGATCTTGACACTAGACAATTCTCTTTCAAGCAATACAGGTTAGTGACATAGAATTATACTTTCTATTTCTATTTTGGTTCTTTATGAACAATATTTATACAATCATAATATGTTCTATTATTTATATTAGTTTAAAATTCTTAGTTTCAAACTATAGAGTAAGCATTTCAAGATATAAATATGGTTACAGGATAGAATGTAAGTATACACTTGAAAAGGTCAAATAAGTGAGAAAGTTTACAGTTTAGGAGATAGCCGAAGGAGGGGATAGATGGAAGGAAGTATATACAGGGTTACAATTTGCTTATCTTAAATAATGGGAGAACTATTGATGCAGGTAGAAACAGAGGTTAGATTACTCAAAGTCAGAAAAATAACCAACAGAAGAAATATTAGTAATCTTAAGAGCTAATAATTAAAAACAATAGTTACAATTCACTAACAGTAAAGTAACAAAAATTATAGGTAGTGCAAGATAAATTTTTCAATTTTCATGATGGGAAGCCAACAGACAACATCTTAAGTTAATAAATCATGAAAAGGAGATATAACCCTATTATTCAAATATATGGAGGTAACCAAAAGAAGTACAAATAGACTTATACTAAAAAGATTACTTCTGGGGAGGAGGTATCAAAGGTGGAGTAAGGGGGTGGGAAAGTTAAATTTTTCACTTTATAATTTTCTGTACTTTTTTAACCTTTTTCCTTATCATATGGAAATATTATTTTTATTATATAAAAAAAGTTAACCATTTCCTGATGACTAACTTAGTATTCTCTTCAATGATATTATCCCAGAGTGCATTCTTACTAAGGATAAAATGAACATACTCCTGCATGTAATGGTGAAAGATGCAGCAATGCCAAATGAACGCTATAATTAATATCGCAATGAGTAGAAGCATCAGGAATCCGAACAAGTCAACTGAAATGCATGAAAAAAAATATTTTAAGTTAACAGATTAATAATTTCTTATATTTTCATCTTTTCTAGTATCATGCACTCTGATTCTTAAATACAATTTCAGTCATTAATGAAAACGATGCAATAACATACATCACATACTCCAATAAAACTACCATTAACACAACAATTACTAACATTTGAAAATAATCTAGGTTGCTAAAAGGAGGTAATATTATCTGCAAATTGGTAAACTATTAGGTCACTGGCTATTTTTGCCTTTATTTTATCACCCAAAACTCATTCCAGGCAATGTTTCAACAGATAAAATATAATAGCAGAACCTTCAGGTTGGCTTCAGGTTTCTATGAAGATACATTTAGTAGATAGCAGGGGATGTTTGCTGTATGAGTTTCAGCAGTTCCTTATCAAGGAGAAAACAAATGCTTGCTGGGAAACCAGGTTTATAGCACTTGTAAACTTTCCTTTTCTCCCTTCCTGTGCTATGTAAAACTATAAGGGCAGACTATTAAACAGGAGATTAGGGTTCCCATTCATACTAAATTTATGAAGAGTTACCTGTTTACAAGCTCTTTGCTGCAAACAATTATGATTTAAATATACCTGATAGTACCTGAAGGACTTGAGGGCAAAAGTCATATTTTTTCACTTCAATTAAGAAAAAAAAACATAGACAATTGGTTGTACTAGATTGAGTTTTCTCATATAGTTAAGGTTCCCCTAGAAAGCATCATGTTTCAACTTTTTTTTGTTTTTTAAGATTTTATTGGGGAATTGGGGAAGGGGAACAGACAAGTTTCTGTCCTTTTGTTCTTCAGTCTAGTTGTGGAGGATGTCGCTTCACTGACTCATGTTGATATTATCATTGCGCTCTTCCCGGGTGAGGCAGTCGCTCGCAGGCCATTGGACGGCCGCTCTCAGTAGCTCACGCCAGCTACCAGCCAGCCCCACTGCAGCCTACGCCGTCACCGGCGACTCACGGCAGCCTAGCTCCAGGTCGAGCTGTTGTTCACCATCTTAGCTGTAGAGGGCGCAGCATCACTGGCCCTCATCATGTAGGATCCGAACCATGGCCCTGCTGCTCAGAGCTGGCATCCCAAGCCAGCTCTTAACCAACACAACACTCGGCCGGCCCCTCAGCTTTTTTTGAATAAAAGGTTCTAGTACATTTACTGCCTTGGTAGCTACCATATAACAAACCAAAATTATAACATTATAGATATAATTTAGAGGTTCTTTAATAATTGAGATTTGATCAGTCCTAGGCAGTCGTTGTTCTGAATGGCAATTCTCAGTACAAAATGTATAAGTTGAGGAAATATAAGTTATACTAATGCTACTGGGCTCAACATATCATCACCCCAGGACTAGCTTATAAAAACTTCTGGAGTTCCTGAAACAACTTGAGAACAATCCTCCTTCACTGGGTTATGGTTATCGTACATTGGAGTACTTTAGAGATCAAATGTAAAGTATTTACAACTAGCATGGTGAGGCAGCCACCAACCAGAATGAATGTTGACCTAGTTGAACCAACCGTGGCTGGAAAGAACAAGTATCAGCCTGTATTAAGGGAAATGCCAATGAACAGGCTTGCTATATTTTAATAAAGCAAATATAATAATTTATAATCCTTCAAATGTAGCAAATAACTAGTATTTGCAAGTCAATTGAAAAAAAGCACATACAAATGCAAATAGGAACAACTCACCTTTACAGCTGACCCAAAATGCAGAACTGAATTGACATTCCAAATTTGAAAGACAAAATTTTTTGCAAATCCCTCGTTCGCTGCACCAAAAGCACTTTATTTGGAAAGAAAAGAAAAAAAAATGAAAGCAGTGTCCAGGTATGCTAAGTACATTTCCAAAAAGTTTTTAGTGCTAGTTGAATAAATATTCAATAAATAACAGCTACCACCATCATCATCATCATTTAGTGGCAGCAGCAGTGGTAGCTGCTGTTGGAGGTTGGCCCCGATCCCCTTACCAGGCCCATGCACCCAAAACGCGGCTGCACTGAGCATTGGCTGCCAGTGGCTCCAGCTGCCCTTCTTCTTGAATTCCCTCAGTGGAGAAGAAGTACCTTGCCCATGAGGTGACTTACCCCACTGCCAATAGCTGATGAACATATGGGGTTCCTAACAGTGGGCATCCTTGCCTCGAGGCAGGGGTAACTCTGCTGTGATTGTTTGCCCAGGGCTGCCCCTGGTCCCTTCCAAGTGTAGACTTTAGCTGAGACTACACCTTTGCTTGGCTCTTGTCCCTTACTTGTCCTGAGTCCCTCACTCCTTCATAGATTTTTGCTGCCACTCAAGAAGTTACATGCACCTTAATCCTTTTCTCAGGCTCTGTGTTTAGGGAACGAAACCCGAGACATTGTTTCACAAAGTAGTAATAAGGACTTCAGTGGATAGATGTTCTTGTTGTTGTTGTTGTTGTTGCTTATCTCTCTTGGTCTTGCCCTTGTCTGCAGCACTCGGTCTTGCCTCTGGGGAGTTCTCGTCTGTTGCATGTGGGCCTAGTGGTGCTGTCAACCAGCCTCGCCTCAACACCCACCCCCTGCCCGCTTCCTGCTCACTGGTGGTCAGATAATCATTTGGAAAATTGGATTCTAAGTCCCTTGTTGAAGTTAACAAAAACAAGGCACAAAGGTGGAAACTATCGTGACCCATAAGACTAGGACCTGGGCAAGTCAAAAAAATGAGAACAGAGTGGTAAAGCTGGCTGTCACTTACATAGGACCTACCACATGACATGTACCATTCTAAACCCCTTGCATATATTAACTCGTTTCATCCTCATGACAACCCTGTGAGCTAGGTACCACTATGTCCACTTTATAGATGAGGACAATAAAGCACAGAGCAATCAAATGACTTCCAGAGGTCACACACCTAGGAAATAGGGAAGTTTGGGTTTTAATCTAATTAGTCTGGTTCTGTGCTGGTAACCAATCCTACAAGATTGATCCCAGACCCCTCCCAATCACAGACTAGCAGAGGTAAAGACTTCCTCCAATGTAAAGGACCACCCCTTATACACTACCTGAGAGCAGAAGGTATATCCCAGGCAATCTTTTGTTAACCAAGACCAAAGTTCAAATGAAGTCATTGAGGCAAGTCTAAGATTGAAGCCACTTAGGCTGAATGAGTCCTGTCCTCTTCAACTATTGTGTAAAGGCTAGAACTGCAAAGTCAAGGCCTAGGTTTAAGGATTACAGCCCAGAGACTTCTGATTTTGGTTATCAGTTCTTAGAGTTTCTAGGAATCAAATCCATGCTATCTAGCAGGGGTTTTTTGTTTTTGTTTTCCCATCTAACAGAGTTTTGATTGCCAGAAAGAAAAACCTGAACCTCTCAGAGAGGAGCTTGTGGTTACTCAGCACTAAGCTGATTCCCAGGCCTCAGTCACCAACTTCACAACAGGTGAGCTTCTAAAGCAGTGCAGTCCCCAGAAGAAACATTTTCTCCTGTGCCTCTCTCTGATGGGGGCTCAGAGAATAATGGAAAAGAGAGCTCTTTCACAAGCTGAGCCTGGAGCAGCCAGGTTGGTAACTTACAGCTTGGCCAGGGAAACTCAACAGAATATCTGCACCACCCTGTCTGAGTTTCCAGGATTAATCCTGAGGGGCAATAATGGACAATGACTTTGGGTAAGTACAATTTTAGTTGAGAGTCAGTTGAATTATTTTGCAAGAGCATTTTTTAAAATGTAGGGATGGGGAAAATAAAATGTGCATGTCCTGAAAGGTCAAAGGGTGAAACACAGTAGACTATGGTTGAGATAGGGCCAGACAGGGCCTCCAAGAAAAACCATTAACCTCCAGCTAAAGACAAAGGACCAGTAAATCAAGATGAGACAAGGAAACCCACCAGAACCAGCCGAAGCCAAGATGGTGACAAGATTCATTTCCAGGTAACCTCCAGACACATTATATAGTCATTGTAATACATTTTCATACTAAATGACACACCCCCTAGCACCATGACACTTCCGGAGAGGACCATATAAGGACAAAAAAGGGGGGGGGGCGTCTATCCATGATTCTTGGAAAAGCCCACCCATTTCCTGGAACTAATAGAATATTCCTCCCCTTCATTTCCATGTAAAATACCTACCAAATAAAAATTATGGCCACACTTCAAATCGAGGTTCTCTCTAGCCTGGAGGCAACTTCTGCCTATGGAGAAGATCTTTTTTCAATAAACTACTTTCACTTTATTTCCTGGCGTGTGCTTGAATGCTTTCCTGCGCAAAGCCAAGGACCCTCTTTCCTGCAACATGGTAGGTTATGGTTTTACTCTGTCTGCCTAGCTCAGGTAACCATCCCTTCTTCTTCTGGCAATTGCAACCGCTTTCCTTTGTGGACCTCTTCTCCCAATTCTACCTGATTCTATAGCTGTGACTCAGCTTTGCTCCCACTTCCCTACTACTGGAATCATCTGACCCAGGCAGTGGCACTCAGGGTAGCTCATCCCCCTGGCCCAGTAACTAGTGCTGGACTGGACATAAGACCCAAATCAGGCCCATCAGAATCTTGTTTGGAGTTGTACACAGATATCGGGAGAGATGTGCTAGGAGCCAACATCTTCCCCAACTACGTGGAGAAGGTTCACTTGCCATAAAAGAAAATGAGGTCAATACACAGAGGGAGGCAGAACTGGGAGATGAAAAGAGGGGAAATGAAAATAACATCTTTTTGGATTCAGTTGTGTATGAAACCAAGGCCACCACCCCACCGACACCCCAATTTTGTAAATCAATAACTTCCCCTTTTTATTAAATTAGTTTGAATTGGATTTCTGTCACCTACCACAAAAGATGTTACTAACCCCTTAACTAAGTCTTCTAAACTGAAAGTCCTCAAAGTTCACATTACCCAGAGGAACAGTACTATATAGTCAACATCCCTAAATTGGTAATGAATAATTTCAGACAAATTACATGGATTTGTTTTCTTGTAGTTTAGGAAGATGATCCGTGTAAATACAAAGCTATGACAACTTTCAGACTCTTAAGAGAGTGACAACTGAGAAGTCAGCTAAAGGACTTTAGAAGAATAATTAATATTGCTTCATGGGAAACCAGAGTATTTGTTTTACGATAGAACTCTGTGTTAATAAGCTTATATGGACATCCAAAATTGATATTTTTATAAGCAAATATTAAAATAAAAAAATGCAGAAAGAAGGAAAGTACATAATATTATTTAGCAGTCTGTTAACATTGTATAAAACCATTTAATATTATGCTGCAAAAAATATTAAATAAGTGTTATTGTGCAACAGGTGATTTTTAAGTAATGGATGTTGAAAAGATCAAAAGAGCATTGACTAATTATTCATGTACAAATGATCGATTCAGTGGAGGCTACACAGAGTGGTGTTTTTGCTTTCTTTGGCAGGTGCAATATGTACACTCTACAAAAAAACAAAATCTCTGAATGGAAGAATATTATTATTTCAAAAAGAGTGGAACAGCTATAAAATGTAATAGCAGTTCATAAGAGAAAGTTTCTAGTTGGCATGACTAGATAAGATTTCTTTCAGGGAACGGGCAGAATTTGGTGTGAGCCTTGAGGAACAGGCAAAATATGGGCAGAAAAGAGCAGGCCTCAGACACACGGCCATGATAGACGGAAATGAGGGAGTCACGGTGGCAGGAGTGAAAATCTGTCTGGTGAAAGTTTGTGAAATTATTTGGAAAGGTAAGCTTTTCTCAGGTTGTGACGGGGTTGTGTTTTATCTTAAACACTAGGGAGTCAGCCGAAGTATTTTGAGCTAACAGGTGACATATTAAAAGTGCTAATTTATAATAATGAATTGTAAATTCATCAGGAGGGACTCCAGGGACTGGGACCCAGAAAGTCTAGGATTGTTCCAGTTGAAAGAAAAGAATAGGCCTTCATGAACTGCAGATAGAGAAAAAGTAAGATCAAGGAGCCCAAGATTTCGAAAATTATGTCTGGGAGAATATTACCAGAAATAAATAAGTAAATAAAACGAGCTTTTCTGTGGGGGAAAAATGATAAATTTAGTTATAGAAAATTTTGGCTTGAGGTGATGAAGGAATGTTGAGCAGCTATGGGTGTGACCCCGAGGCCCAGGGGCTATTAGCACTAAGAATATGAATTTGCGATTTCTTTACGTGCAGGTACTAGCAGAGGCCATGGCAGTAGCGAAGATAGCACAAGCGTGAGAACGTAGTATAAAATAATGCTTCATATAAGGAGGGACGAAGAGGAGGAGCCGGTAAAGGAAGTGGGGAGGCGAGGGAAGAAGCAAGGCAGAACAACGTATCAAGTCCGCATCGCCAAGGCAGGAGCGAGTTTCCAGGGGACTGACCAATTTGAAAGGTCATTTGTAAACTGTAAATCAGTTTGCTAAGCATAAAATCATTGTGACAAGGAAGCAAAGGTAGAATAAGGACTTTAGCTGCTAGAAAGAAACAAGGAGGTTTTGTTGTTTTCCATTTCATCTGAACTCAGAAAGGAAGGAGCCAATGCAGAGAAACAGACTCAATTTGTCCCAGAAGAACAAGGAAATGAGAAAGGTTCTGAGTTTGTGAATGTGCATGTGGTTCCGAGTACAATGCATGCATGGAGGTAAAGGCTAGGGGATTAGCCTTGGAACTGAGAATCGACTTCTTTTTTAATTTTGTTATTGTTATTATTAGTTTCACATGTACAAAACAATGCAATAGTTATCCTTTTCACCCCTCACAAAGTGACCACCCCTCCTCCCCCCACCCACTGCTCTCCCACCCCCGATATCATGCGTATCTATTGGGGATGAAGGAAAAGGG